TGGGGACATGGAATTTCCCTCACAATAGCCCACCTAACCTTCTTTCATAAGCCCTGAACTCTGTCCCTCCCCACTGGAAAGATGACGTCTTTCTTATCACTTCTGCTGTGTGACTCTCTCCAGGGGCACTCTCGGCTGCCAGGAGGACTCGTCCAGGTTGTCCGGACTCCATCTCTGCTACAGAGGCCACTTAGAGCTTGGCCTCCAGGGCCTGATGACCTCAAATTGTACTCATCTGTCTGTATCTCTTGTTCAAGCTTGAAGCCTGGAAATCCCAGTTATGGAGGACACTCCCAAAATGCTCCAATCATGAGAGAATACAGGTTGACTTTTTCCTGGGTTTAAATAACGTATTTCTAATATCCCCAAGAATATGCGTTTATGGAGAGGAGGGGGATGAGGGTGACACATACTAAACTATGTATAAATGCAACTGCTGTGTTTCTTAGTTCAATGTTCAACCCAAGTGCCAGAGCTTCTGCTTTCCTGATAAATGCTGTCTTACATTCAGTCCATCTCTCCAGCTGGTTGAATCTTCTTGGACGCTGATCCTCATCTATCTGGGTCATCAACAAATGTCACCTATAATTTTGTAGAGTCCGCCAATTAAAAAGAAAGGGTACTGTGGCCAGCTTGTCAATGGATAACTCGTGTTTGCTTTCCATCTTCCTCTGTACGACTCTCCTCCTTACTGTAGCTCCTGTTTTGCCACCCCCATAAATTACTAGCACACTAGACAGAGGACAATGAAGAGTCATTTGAATCTGAAGCCCATGCTGCTTTCCTAACGCTGCTCCGACCTGTGGAGTGACCTTTCCACATGACGAGCCCACACAGGACTAATCATCCCCAAATCCAGCCCTTGTTCTCCATAATATCCCTATAGCTTTGTCAGATGCCTCGCTAAATCCCAAATATGTTGTTTATTCCCTTGATCTTAATACCCTTTCATGTTTCCCGCACCTTTGCTTATGCGTAATGCTTTTGTATCATACAATCCTGGTTTCAAATACCAGCTCCAGCACCGGCCTTGCAAGATTTCATAACATGCGTGAGATGTAACCTCCTCACCTATGAAATGGAAAGATAATCCTTCCTGCTTGGAAGGAATAAATACGATTATAAATGGTACAAAGTTTCTTCCCATCTATAGTCTCTGCTTAACAAAGTCCCTTCAAGACCAAGCTTAAATGTCACATTCTCCTTGAAGCAGTCTCTGATCAACTCATTTTCACTGCAGTTGTTGGTACATTTTTATGCAACTCAAGATACTTTGCATCTTGTGTATTTACTTTTTCTAGACCTTAAGCTCCTGGAGGGCACACTTCTCCTTGAAGCAGTCTCTGATCAACTCATTTTCACTGCAGTTGTTGGTACATTTTTATGCGACTCAAGATACTTTGCATCTTGTGTATTTACTCTTTTTCTAGACCTTAAGCTCCTGGGGCACATGACAGTTAATTTACATTAAATTTGCATTCCCAAAGTGCTCTCTACATGGTTGGAGCTAAATAAATATTGGATGTCTAAGTGAATCCTCTCTTCCACTTGGACTGATACCCTGGCATATGCTCATCTTAGCCTTTAGGACTCTATTTTTGTTCTATTGCTTGGCACCATGTTTATTCTCAAGTCCTAAATCCTGTACCTGCTTCAAAATACCACAGTCCCCAACATACACAAGTCATACCTTAATTACTTAAGACAATAACTTTAACTCTCATAGTTTTATAGTCTCTGGTTTCTAAGACATATGTGGTCTAATGTTGCTCCCTAGTTTATACGGCTTAAGTCTTAAGCAGGCATGCTGCCCCTCAGGGGTAGAAAGTGTATCTTCTAATTTCTTTTGTATCTTGCATAGTATGGGAGTTGGTTGGTACTTACATCATCACTGGATTTTGGATGCCTGAGAATCTTCTTCATGTCCACGCCTGATTCAGAAGAGAGGGAACACCTAAGGGCACGTTATGTCTCTAACTTTTATGACTTAACTATAGGTGCCTTATCCAGAACCTTGTATGTACAAAGTTCTAGACCAACCTGTGTGTGTAAGGCCTAGGAAACCCAATATAATTAAATAAATGCCTCATGATTTTCAGATTATATAGTTTGTAGAGAAATATTCTTGCCTTAAATTTGTTCTTTCCACTTTTGGGGGGTAATGACAGCAAGAAGTTACAGTCATTCAACTATTATAATAATCTTCTTTGAATGCTACATAATTCTCCTAAGTCATGGGAAGTCACTTTGAGAAAAGATTCTTGTCTTAAGGAGATTTAACATCCTGTGTTTAGAAATAGATGGTTTTAAAACAAAATTAATGAAAACCACCTTTCAGGTGTTGCTTAAACTTGATCTCAAAATGTTAAGGCTAAAAACAAAAAAGTCAGAAAAGAGCACTGATGTATAATTTGACCAGAGCATGCATCAAGGAAGAAACGTCAGTTACCTTGACAGTCTTCCAACAAAAATAATGATCATACTCCATAATCCTTGTTAAGTACCAACATTTAAAATTCAGGTCAAGGATTAACTAATGAGGTAAGTGTTATTTACATGGTTTCTGTGAAGGAAAATCATTGCTGTATTATGAAAAAAAAAAGAAAGAAAAAAACTCTACATTAAATACAATCAGTTAGTTATCACTCTGAAAGAAATAATTAACATTGTAGTCTAATGTTTGGGGAATGAAAATAAGTTACTTAAATCCCCTTGATTTACGTTAACTCTTATGTTAACAAATTTTCTTAAAACAGGTATACTAATCTTTCAAAATGAGAAAAACCACCTTTGGTTCTTATTTTTTTCCAGCACTTCTGATATATTGTGGTGGATTCATACATGAAGATGTTGAAACTGGCATGAACAAATCTAGAGATCTAATGTACAACACAAGGACTAACGTTAATAAAACGGTATTGTATCAGTGGTTTTTATTAAATAAGTAGGTTCTACCTGCTCTTGTCATACAAAACAAGTGACTAAGTGAGATGACAGATGTTAATCTGCTTCATTACAGTAACCATTTTGCTATCTATATGTATCCCATTACATCATGTTGTTAATCTCAAATATACACAAAGTTTATTTTTTTAAAAAAGATATTGAAATTATCTCACAATATGCTTTTCACCTATCCTGCCAGAGTTATCAAAGAAATTTGCTATGTCACTGTACCCTTGTTGTCTCTGGCTTGGACCTTTCATGATAGTATAACAGAGTAAAAGTCAAACGTCGTCTCACCAGCTCTCTGAATTACATTATTTGCATGTCATTCGTATTTGGAAATATCTAGTAGACAGTACTCCTTGACAATAGATGACTTTGGAGAAACAGCTCAAAAGGAACTATTCCCTTATCTATTTTGTGCATGTGATTATTTCAAAATATAATGGCTCAGATTTTCACAATATTTCTTATGTAGCTACAAATTTCAAATACCAGCAAAATATCTGAAAAGCCACATTAAAGCATGAAATTCACTAATATTAAAGGTATGTGCATAATATAATGAATCTTGAATAGCCTAAAATACAAAAATAAGATTAAGTATATTATAGCATTATGAAATATTCAAGGGACCATCCAAGCATATCACAGCATTTAGTCTTTGGTTAAATGTAGGAATTCTTCAAATTAAGAAAATTCTATACAAACTAAAAACATCTCAATGCTAAAATTCTGAGCATTAATTTTGAATTTAGAGAAATCACACATATTTAAAGTATGATTATGGGGTTAAGAATATGTTTATTAGACTGCCTTAAAATTTTAAACAATAAAAGTATAATACTTTAAACAATAAAAGTATAATACTTTTATTATACTGCTTTATTTTAATACTACAGGGTCATGATGCAAAGTTAGGACTTATTAATTCTGAGAGATTGAATACATAATGGATCTCATATCCAACAACTATATTGATAGAGCAATGAAATTCCTAGAGTTTCCAGGATTATTTTCAAATTTTTCTCAGAATATAAAAGGTAGTTTTATTATTTTTGAGAATTTTGCTACTTAATCTGTGGAAACATGTAAATGTAATTGAAGCATGTACCTACAGCATCAAGGAACCATCAGAGCCTGCTGGGGCTGGTGTGCATCCTGGAGATTCTGAGATTAGGAACTACAGGTGGAGATGCCAGGTGCCTTTCCCAAAGTCACAGACACAAAGCAGCAGCTCACTAGCAGCTGTCTCCAAACTCCTTAGTATATACTCCCCAGTCCTCTATGCTGTCGTCTCACCAAGTTCATGTCCCTGCAATCTTCATGAAGTCGGTCTTTAAAAATATGAATACATTGCCTTCATGATGTGCTGAATATTCAAATTGCAACATTAAAACACTTTTCTCACAAACCTAGCATCTATAATCCTTAAGTAATAATGCAAATTACTGCAGTGGTAATTGTGGGCTTCCCTCGCCCCCTAGTTCTTCTGAGTGAGTAAGGACAGTTAAACACCTGAATATTCAAATTGCAACATTAAAACACTTTTCTCACAAACCTAGCATCTATAATCCTTAGGTAATAATGCAAATTACTGCAGTGGTAATTGTGGGCTTCCCTCGCCCCCTAGTTCTTCTGAGTGAGTAAGGACAGTTAAACACCCCAGGACAGGAGGTAATCATTTCTAAAGAGTCACTTAAGTAATTCAGAAGTCTAAATTTGGCTCTTCTGTAAATCTTGGGCCCTCTGCGGTTTAACTACTGGGCAGAAACTTACATTTACTAGAAATTTTCATGCCCACATTTAGGAACTTTGCTCCTTTAGGGCTGTATGCTATATGGACTTACAGAAAGTGTTCTTACTCAATCTTCTATTAAGTCAATAACTACAAAATTACTTCTCACAAATAAAAATAAAATAGATCTCTCAGTTGTATAGATTTCAGTTACAGTTTCACGTGGTAGATGTGGAAAAAACGGAACTGAGGGCTGTTTTCCAAATGCAGCTCACTGACCACCAGATGATACAAAGAAGGCACAACTAAGCAATGGTAAAGTCAGTAAACAATATTTTACTGAAACATTTCATAACACAGAAAATCTGTCTGAAGTGTAAAGTTACTGTCTTACACAAGGACAGACCCATTTTCAAAGACCAATATGAATACAATAAATATGGAGTTTACATACTAATTTATACACAGAAACTGCCCCACAGCCATAAAAATTTATATTTAACAGTGCAACTTATAATTTAATCATTTGATTTGTTTGACAGGTTTGTCTTACTAAACACAAATAACTACCTGGTTTTCATATACATATATAATATATTTTTTATGTATATAGATATTCAACAATCTGTACAGTTTCTAAACATAAAACTCCTAAAAGGCACAATTGTTTATACAACATGTACAAAAATGGCTGGAGCTGACACAAAACAACAATTATTGGTCAAAAGTTCATGATTGCACAAAGATTAGTCATAAGTTTATGTCAGAAAAAAATGTGCTTTAAGGAAAGGAGGGTTTTCAAAAAAACCTTTAAGTGTTATTTAAAAATCAAAAGCAATAGAAAGTAAAAGCCACTAGGTTGCTATCACCAGCCTGTCCTCGTCCTCATCACTGCTGACGTCGCTGAACTGCACGGGGGGCTGCCTTCGGGGCAGCACGGGGGGCCTGGGCACCTGTCTGTCTGGAGAGAAGGTCTGCTGGCCGGAGGGCTGGGGAAGAACATCAGAATGTGCCTTCAGGAGAGGGTCCGAAGTGGCCACCAGGGGACCCTGCACGGGAGCGAGCTCAGGCGTGAGCTGCAGGTGACTTGCAGAGGCAGCCTTCTCTGTGCCCATTTCATTCGAGCCTCCAAACCTTGCATGGTCACCTGTAGGGGCAGGTGGATCCAGAACCTTTTTTGCGTGTTCCCGCCAGACTTTGGGTGATCCCTGAGGAGGCTCGGTCCTGCTGGCCTGGTTTGCACTGGCTACGGGCGTCTGCTTGGGTTGTGCCTCGCGAGCTTTGCTTCCGGAGGCTGGCACCGCGGGAGCTCCCTGGGCGTCGAGGGTCACCTGACTCACGGAGGGGATTAAAGCGGGCAAGGCTATGTTCAGGATCTGCAGCCCGGGAACGTGCGCCTGCGGGGCGGGGCTGCTGTGCGGGGAGGGGCTCGCCGCCAGCACCTGCAGGCCCAGGGCATTCAGGGCGAGGCCCGGCGGGGGCACCGGCGGGGCCACGCTCGCGTTGGCCAGGCCCACGATGTTCACGGTCTCCATGCTCAGGTTCTGCAGGCCTGGCACACGGACCTGGCCGATGGGAATACATGGCACCACATTGCTTAATTCAGCCACGCCGGCGGGGTTTGCAGTGCCAGAGGCTTCTGGGGCCGTATCCCCAGGAGCGCCCGTGGTCCTGTGGATGACACTGACAGCAGGAATCGTGAGCTGCATGGGCCCGGCCTGAATGGGCACGAACGTGGAGTACGTGAGGCCGGCGGGGACCACGTGGATCCCCCCGACGGGAACCATATTATAAGGTGTCCTTGACTGCTGCTGGGAATGCAGAGGAAGGTGGCTGAACAAGTGGGTCTGGGCAGAAGGCAGGCCCGGGGGCGGCTGCAGGGTTATCTGCTGCTTCTGTACCTGAGTGTCGGGGTGAGGCGAGGCCACGCTGGGCACCCCCGCGGCTGTCCGAGGGCTGTGCTCGGCTGCGGCTGCGGCAGGAGGAAGCCTTCCGGGTGACGGGTTCTAGAACACAGAAGAGAACGATCCTTTTATGGCAGGGCTTTCTTTATCACTGAGCTAAAATGCCAGTGCTAAATCTATTCTTCCCAATGACGTAAAAGCACATACACTTGTACTTTATAAAAAATTATATGCTTGCAAAAAAACTTATTTTTAAAAATAAATTTTCAGCTAAAAAAAATCTATTTTATCTTTAATTATTTTTCTTTTCTGCTACAAATAACAGCAACACATTTTTGTGTAGCCCTTTGGGTTTTTAAACAAACTTCCTGGATGTCATCACATTTTATACTGAGAATAACCCTGAGAGATGGCCACGGTTACATTCTTACGTTGTTGTTATTCCTGGTACTACCAGCTCCACCGTATTTTACAGATTAGGAATTGAGACATTGAGATATTAGCTGGTTTTATCAACTCAATGGGAAAGATTAACCAAAGGGTTATCCGTTCATGAAGTAAAGACTTGTCATTAAGAAAAAGGCCTGCTAGCTGTTCGTTCATTTGTTCATTCATTCATGAAATGTCTACTGAAAACCTGATTTCCAGGTGTTGGTAGGTGTGTGAGAGATTTTGAGCTAGAGAGAAGCTCAGAGCCTGGGGGACCAACATTAAAGTAATGAAATGTTATTGGAAGGGGTAAATCTTGCTCATCCTCCCGTCCACCCAAGATCATCTACTAGCTTTTTCTTGATAATATCTATATCACAGAGCTATATTAATTTATGTATTTAATTTATAATTTAATTTAAACATTAATTTAATTTAGCTAAGTTAATATAATTTAGACTAGTCTTTAGAAATCCAAGCTTCTACAGTCTTTTTATTTTTCTCCAGTATTATATGGCAAACCCAAGCCTGCCACATTTAGAAATAAATCCTATTGCGATATTCAATACATACTAGAGGTAAGAGAACTGTCAATGAGAGAAGAAGGTATTCCTCCCAGAATTAGTCACTTGTCACAAGACAGCCAGGGTAAAGCAGGGATCACTCCCGGCGTATTCAGTGTGCCTTTCTTTAGGCCTGTGGTCTGCCCTGAGCTAGTTCATGGGCAGAAAGCTTTCCCAAGCTGCTACAGCATTTGATCATTCCAGCAAAGTCAACTCCTTGATACATTTTGGGTCACATTGACTTTGCTACAGAAACTTGTAGCTGTCTTGCCGATGATGGTAAAGTACAAAATGTCTGGATAACTTAGTGCAAATCCATCACACCAACACCAGTGGAAAAACAACTCAGAGTGAGCCATGGGATAAATAAATCCTCAATCAGCGCATACATATTTTTAATTTCAAAATTTTTTTAAAAAGCAATTAATAATAAATGGGTATATTTTTCAAGAACCATTTGGTTCTTTCAAAGATATGCAATATGTGAACTCTGATTAAAATACTTAACAAGATTCCAAAGGTCATAAATGTTCTCTGCCCTTAAATATAGCAAAAAAATAAAGTCATACAAACTAATTTGGCCATAAATAAATCATTTAAGTGCATTGTTTTCTTAAGCCATTAGGTTCCCCATATTTAATATTAAAAAAAAAAAAGAAAAAAAGAACTACCACCAATCATTTACCTGTGTTAAAGTGACCGCCTTTCCTGCCACAGAACTTCTCAGAATTTCTTCTGACTCAAGGTACTCCACAGACATCTGACGACACGGGGATCTGGGTACAGTTTCGGGTGGCCTGGTAGAGTCTACAGGGGGAACCGTCTCATCTTCCTCTTTTGCAGCATGCTGCCTGGCGTTCACAGGGGAGTCTGTCTTCTGGCTGTAGTGACACTGTACTGTGCTCAGGACGGTCATCTTGGTGAGCAGTGCTCTGGGCAGAACATCCATTGGGTCTGTGTGTACCCCTGAAAAGCAGTCGTTCACCCTGATGTCCTCGTCAGCACTCACAGAGTCCTGCAGGCTACTTCTAGATGGAAGGTGCTGCGGGCTGGCAGTGACCGAGGGCGCAGCAGACAGGACTGACTCAGCCTGGCTGTCTTCATCATCGTCCTCATTTTCATTATCGTCCTCATCTGCGCCATCAGATTCTTCCAGATCATATCCAGACCGCTCATATCCGAATCTTTGTTTTTCATCTGATAAAAACAACCAAGAGGGGTACGTTATAGAATGTCCTGCGTGTGGACAAATGCAATCTTTTATTTTCATAAGCTTGGCAATACCGTGAGGAATACAGAGACCAGGAGCCTGGCCACACACAGCCTGCGCTCTGCTGGAGGAGAACACATTGGGGAAGAACCAGCCCATCACCCCGCAGGAGCTCAGAGGAGTGAGGCGCTGAGGTGCAGCGGCGTGGCCGGGGCAGGCTTCTCAAAGGCCAGGAGCAGGAAATGAGCCTCAAAGAGGACCCAGACAGGCCCAGGGTAATACATAAAGAAAATGGGAAATGGAGGCCTCAACTATTATACTTGGAAAAAAATCCCCAAGTACAACTGAACTGTGTAAGAAATGAATAGAGTTCGATGCAGCTCTTTTCCTGTGTGCTCTTCTGATCTACTTTTTTGTGTCTTCCTTTTATTGAACAAATTAAACACACACAAAAATGCTATTTGGTATTTGTGAAGAAAATTTTTCTTAGTACTTGAATAGTACTGTAGACATGCTTCGATTGTCCTCTGAGTAGCAATATTCATCTGATATTTAAGCCTTCTTCTACTTCTTTTTATTTACTAAGAGAGGTGCTAAATTTTCCTGTCAATTTTTTCTGTGATATTATTCAACCCATTCCTCACAGGAAGAGGACCTTACCTTAAAGTCATTAATATCAGCCTCATAATGTCATGTAAGACTGGCTTTTACAAAGAATTTTCAAGATGGTCCAGGGAACCATTTTAAAATTCTCCTAAGTTCATGTGGGATTTGGTTTAAAATTTTCACTTGTTCAAAATCTCACAAATGATAGGCTCCTTCCCTTAGAAAGCTAATAAACTTTAAAAAGTTAAAAGAGGAAGAAATGCAGAACATCCACTGCATTTCTTTGTCACTGAGATTTAATAAAGATGCCATCAGATCATGTACAGTTTAGGTGTGAGACATTCTGTACTTATATGTAGTTTTTGAAGAGAGAAAAAAATGTAAATAAGAAATAAGCAACAGGTATTTTTCCTGGCTTTCATGAGTCATCTGCATATAAATTTATTTTACTACTCCCTCTTTCTATATGACAAAGATAAGTTCTTAGAGATGTCTCAGAGGATCTAGGCCAAACCATTTGAGGGCAATTATTTCTAATGGATTAAAAGGACTAGAACTTTAATGTTATTTATCATGAATATGTGTTACTTTTATAATTAAAACACTCAAAGATATAACATATGCATTTATGTTTCTTTAAAATGAGATTTCATAAGCTTTTCCTGTTAAGGATCTACTATTATGTTGTAAATAAGTAAATAAGTAAAATAACACCAATTTACTGAATCCCACTAGGGACCCATGCTGGAGATGGAATGAGTGATTTCTGGGTAAATGCCTGGTCTCCTGCCTCAGACACTTTTGATGTCTGCAATTCTAAAATTAGAGACTCATCCTCAATTTGACTCAAATTTGCCACATTAGTGCCATATCAGATATTTTGTTAGAGATGTGTCTTCTTTTAAAGGGGAAAAATAGAAAGGACAGGAAGGAACTTGATGACTGGGAGAACAGAGAAGGCTGATCTTATCAAGGAATGACCTTGCTAAAAGGTCTAACTAGGACAGGACTTGCTTTACCTTAAAAACTATTACCTTATTTTTTTTAAAAAAAGAGTAGGCCTAACTTTAATTTACAGATTTTATCAAACCCATCAAAAAGCTGAGGTCTCAGACAATCAAGAGCCCTAAATCTAAGGAGAGACAGTGTCTGCAGGAAAAGAGGAGACACAAGCTCCAGCCTGCTGGGGTAGATGCAACAGGATACCGGTCAGAAGCAGCTAAAGTGGTCAATATATGAAACAGTTGGTTAGAGCTAAGAGTGGGTTGGCAGGACTGTGTGAAACCTCTGGGGGCTGCACTCTGCTGCAGGCTTCATGCCATGAACCCCACCCAGCTGCTCAGAGTGAACAGCATGAAGAAGTGTCTACTGCGTATATGGGGGAGAGGAGCAGCAGCCAGACAGGAGGGGCAAAGAACTATACCTGGATCCATCTCCCCTCCCTCCACTAGGGAAACAAAAGCCTTACCCTGTGAGAAGAAGGGCAACAAGCACTATGGTCCGCAGGACATTAGTGAAAACTCACTGCAGTGGGGAAAGGGCTGAGGATTGCAGCAGAGCCCACCACAACCGCCGGGGATGGGCGACAGGCAGGAAAACTGAGAAGGCCATAGCCCAGAGAAGAGACCTAAGAACCTGGTGCATGGACAAGACTGAGACTTAATCAGAACGGAGATGGTACCCCTTTCTCCTCTTCAGCTCCCAGTGCCAAGCTAAGGAGCTCTGAATGAAGGTAACAGCAAAATACTGCTGGGAGAGGAAAGCAGAAAAAGAATGTGCAGAGAGACACACTCTGAAGCACAGTGCAAAGGAAGACCTAAAACTGGAACTGAACATTGTTCTTGTAATCCAACCCCCGCCCAGAACACAAGATGTCATAGGAATGTGAAACCTCTGGTGTAGTGAGGATAGTCATAACAACAAGAATCTCTCAAACCCAGTCCAACTCCTCCCTAGAAAACCTCTAACCCCCACACTACAGGCCTAGCAGAAGGAGAGAAACACATGCCCATTTCAAGGCATAAAAACAACTCATGAGTCTACTGTTTTACCCAAGATGTCCACCTTTCAACACAAAATTACAAGGCATACAAAAAGGCATGAAAAAAGCTCATACTCTGGTAAGAAAGCAATCACCAGAATGGAGTCAGATATGACACAGATGATAGAACTGACAGAGAATTATAAATAATTATGATTAACGTGTTAAAGGCTCTAATGGGAAAGGTGGACAACACATAATATCAGATGGAAATTTCAGCCAAGAGATAAAAACTATAAAAAAAGAATAAAATGAAAATAATACAAATGAAAAACACAGTAACGATGACATCAAGAAAGCTGCTAAACCCAGAATTCTCCACCTATTGAAAGTAACTTTCAAAGATGAAAAAGAAACATGACTTTCTTAGAAAAACAAAAACTGAGGGGATTCATTGACCTTCTAGACAATAAATGTTAAAGGAAGTTCTAAAGCAGAAAGAATATAATATCAGATGGAAACCCGGGTCTGCACAAAGAAACAAAAAGCACTGGAAATGGAATAAATGAGGATAAAATTATTTTTTTCTTGCATATAATTGCTCTAAAAATAACTGAATGTCTAGCACAAAAATAGTTACAGTGTATTGTGTGTTATGGTAAATGTAAACATGAACAGTATGACAGCAACAGCACAGAGGACAGAGGGGAAGAACTGTGAATACACCATAGTAATCCTTACACCATATGTAAAGCAATGTCATACTGTCTAGACAGCTAAAAATTTTAAAGGATAAAAACAAGCCAATAGAGGAAATAAAATAGAATCATAAAAATTGCTCAATTAATACTAGAGAAGACACAAAAAAGAAGAAAACTGAATAAAAAAAAAATGAAATGAATAGAAAACACCTGCCAAAATGGTAGATTTTAACCCAACTACATAAATAATAACATTAGAAGAAATGGTCTAACATATGAATTGAAACACAGAAATTGTCAGATTGGATTAAGCAAGTCCCAAGTGTATACTATAAGAAATGCATTTAAATATAAAAACATAAATAGGTTGAAAGTAAGTTTGGAGAAAGATATACCATAAATCATTAAAATATAGGCACTGAAACGATACTAATATCAGACAAAGTAGACTTCAGAACCAAAAATATAGTCAGGGATAAACAGGAACATTACTTAATGAAAAACGGGTCATCACTCTCTCAATGTATAACAACCCTAAGAGTGTACGCAACTAAATAGAACTTCAACATAAATGAGGCAAAAACTGAATAAATCTAAATAAAAAACTAAATAAGTCCACAATCATAGTCAAAGATACTCCACTCTCAGTAAACGATGGAACAAGTAGATAGAAAATCAGGAAGAACATAAAAGACCTAAAATACACTATTAACCAATGAACTCTAATTGACATTTATAGAATGCTCCACACAACAACAGCAGAATACACTTTCATTCTAAGTGTACATGGAACTTTCATCAATATATACTATAATCTGGGCCAGCCCGGTGGCGCACTGCTACAGTGCGCCGCTTCGGAGCGTGGCAGCGCTCCCGCCAAGGGTTCGGATCCCACATACAGACCGGTTCCCGCTCACTGGCTGGGCGAGGCGCGGGCGCAAAAAAAAAAAAAAAAAAAAAAAAAAAAAAAAATATATATATATATATATATATATACACTATAATCTGAGCTACAAAACAAACCTCAACCAATTTAAATGGATAGAAATCATACGGAGTATATTTTTAGATAAAAATAGATTTAAACTAGAAATCAATTGGAAGATATCTCAAAAATCCTCAACTATTTCAGAATTAAATAACACACTTCTAAATATTCCATGGGTCAATGAGAAAGTCTCAGAGAAAATTTTGAAATACTTTGAACTGGATGAAAATTAAAATATAACATTCAAAATTTGTGGGATGCAACTAATGCAGTGGTTAGTGAGAGATTTACTGTACTCAAGGCAGTCTGGTATTGGCAAAAGGATAAACACACAGTATTGATAAATCAGGAAAGATAGCCCAGAGATAAAAACTACACAGGTAAAGTTAAATGAACTTTGACAAAGGCAATTCCATGGAGAAAAGATAGTCTTTCCAATAAATGGTGATGAAACAAATAGATACCCACACACCGAAAAATGAACATTGGCATATACCTTACACCTCCAGCTTATATAAATAGTAACTCAAAATATAGAACTAAATATAAAATATAAATGCATAAAACTTCTAGAAGAAAACTAGAAAATCTGTGCGACCTGAAATTAGACATAGAACTCTTACATAAGATACCAAAAGCACAATTGATAAAATAGAAAAAAGTAATAAATGGGCTTTCTTAGTATTAAAAAAACTTGTGAAAGACACTGTA